GAGAGAAGTTTCACTTGATCTTGTAAAAGAAAACATTTACATTTTGCATAATTCTAATGCTGAGCAGTCTGCTAACCTTCATATTTTCACTCTCCATATGGCTGTGAAAAGGAACTGAAAATACCACATCTTAGGGTTTTTTCAAAACCTTTTATTCCTCTAACTACTCATGTGAATTCTGATTGAAATTCACCTAGACGTGCTGCCTTTGCCAGCTTAGTCAGTAGATTCTCAAATAATTTTTGTCTGCAGTATTTCTTTAATCCTATATACGTTCATTATTGGCATTTTGAATCACTGTTTCTGGGTCAGGCATTTTATAGTAAGTAACGACAAGCTGGTTTAAGGGCCCTCAGGTTGATTTTTGCTTAAATCCTGCATCGTTAGTTTGGTTTTCCAACATGATGTTGGGTTTTGGTTTTGTTTCATTTTTAAACATAGCATACCTTTTTGGTTCTCTTTACATGTTTATTAACGTACAAAATATTTATTTCTATTTAAACCATGTTCATATGAATGTGACACACAACCTTAAAATGTTCTAACACTTTTTTGGTGAATTTTCATGAGGACTCCAATGCCAGAGCATTGTACTAAGTTGTGACAAGCCATTCTCTTCCATCTGCACAACAGTGTTAGAAAATACGGTGATCCTGGCCAGGGGAGCCACAGAAGATAGAAGGTGTCTCTAGCCTATGTCAGAAGCTGAGAATGGGTGACGAGATGGATGCCTTGATGTTTGCTTGTTCATTCTCTCTGGGGCACCTGGCATTGGCTACTGTCAGAAGACAGGCTAGATGGACCTTTGGACTGACCCTGTAAAAGGCTGATATCATGTTATGTAAACCCTTGTAGAAACCACAGAGCCTAAAGCTTTAAAATATGGACTTCCTACTGCATTGGGAGCCCGCTAAAGGTACTGTAACACTACATGCTGAGCTCCATTGATATCTGAGTAGAAGCTTAAGCAGAGAATGGTCAAACTGTGCCCTGTGTTGGCTTTAAAAAAATGTTGGCATTTTTCATGTCTGCTTGATTTGAAATATACTGTATAGGTATTTATGTGCAAGACAGTGCTATAGGATTTCCTCTATGGGACATTTAAATGAAGAAACATAAAGGAATACCTGTGCTGGGGTTTAGGCCCTGTTGCTTTCCATTTCCTCCCACCAATCATCAGTATCAAACCAGATATTTCAACATTTTACTCTGGTTCGTCCCACCAAGTCACAGGTCACAACTCCTCCCCTCCTCCTTCCTTAATTTGTAGTCAAGTCCTTTGTGTGGATTTTTGAGGCCACGCAGTGTTATGTAATCTCATACTTTTCCACTTGCATGGTCTTTTTGACCAGTTTGTTAGGCAAGGTCTACACTAGATCCAGCAGCTGGGCTTTAAGGTATGCAACTCGAGTTAAGACTTGCTAAATCAAATTCATAGGGTGCCCTCCTCCCCCGGCATCCAGTATTCCTGCTTTTGGCTTCAAGTAAACCGACTCCAGCTATATAATCTACATAGTTGGAGTCATCTTATTTTAAGCTAAGCTTGGCGGTATCCCCCACAGCAGGAGGCCGAGGGGAACAAATGTTCCCATTGGCTTCGCTTATTACTGGCAAGAGCAGGAGTACCGGACGCTGGCGGGGGCACCCTTTGAGTTTGATTTAGAGAGTTTTAACTAAACTCGCTAAAATGAACTCTGGAAGATTGATCATGGCAGCAACGATCTTCCGTTTAGTGTAGACAAGGCCTTTAAACTTATGCTGTCTCCTCTTCACAAAGTGCTGCATAGTCCTGTCTTTTGTTAGTGCGCTCTGTGTTTGGGTTGCATTATACTGAAGTGGATAGTCACAAGGGGCTTGGGCATAGGCATTGGCAATGTAGTTTCCTTGATTTAAAATATTTTAAGAGGTTTCTATCTCAGCACAAGTCTGTCTTCATAATTTTGATTTTTTAGAAAACTGTGCACAACTGTTACATAACATATTGCTATTTTTTTTAATTTATATGTTAGCAATCAACAGATGTGTTGGAAACTTACTGGAGAGTCCCTCCCATTTGAGGGGATTTAATCTTATTTGCTTATGACAATGCAGCTTTTTAAATGCCCTAGTATTTTTTGGCTTTTTAAGAATTGTGGCTTCAGGCTGCTTCTCATAATTTAAAAACCATTTTAAGCATTTATACTTACTACAGCTATCCCAGCATTCCCAATTTTTAATGTTTCCTGTCTTTAATTTTTTTTCTCTTTTTTGCTGTGAGACCCACACAAATGGGCGAAAACTGAAAATAGAGTTAACATAGATATTGACCATACACAAAGTGTTGTCAAATAAACTAAGAAATCAATTGGAAACTCATAGAAACATTTTGCTCTATTTTTGTTAAACCAATTGTAGGTGTTAGATTTTAGACAAAAATGTAACTTTAAGTTGATTCAGTTTCTCTCAGTTCC